GCAGTCATTTTAACTTCATTGGGTTTTGCATTTGGTGCTACTGTTTATTATATCGAGAGTGATGTTAATGGGACTGAGTTCAATTCAATATTTACAGCAACATATTGGGGAATCATAACAATAACTACTGTTGGGTGAGAACTGGTGATTCCTATTTTCAAATGTTTGTTTTCTTTTATTTATAGATATGGTGATTTGGCACCGACAACACCTGGCGGACGGATTATTGGTTGCTTTTGTGCTGTAAGTGGAACAGGTACTATTGCTATGCTAACTTCAATACTTGTTGATCGATATCAACGAGTATATAATCGTCGAATGTATATTAAACCAAAAGAAATTCATTTCGATGATGTTTTCAACGTTAAACCAAATGATCTTGAATCGAAACATTACAATCAAGATCGAGACAGTTTAATTCTCAATGATGATGCTGATGATAATGTGCAAGAACATCAAGATATTCTACGAATCGAACGAAATAATTATCCTACTGAAAGAAAGGATGGCGGAGAAAATTCCGACTCACCAGTCACACATACCGTCAATCAAGATAGAAATCAAGTCTGCTTCACAATGTATGACTCACCAAATACAAAACCCAATAGAGTTAAAATGACTGCCAAAATAATAAAATCCACAAAAGATTCACTTAATGTTATTGCTAATACTCGTATTGCTTTAATATTTCGAAATATTCGGTAGAATTTAAACACACGTACAAAACGAAGAATTCGTAGAAGTTGCAATGCAGCTTGAGCCTTTGAATGCCCATGAGATCCTTCATTAGTAAAAAATATTGCTATGCCAATATAATATGGCAAAATAGCCAGGATATCAATCCAGTTCATAAAACTCTTAATAAAGCCACATAGTGATGGCATACTTATCATACGTAAAATTAACTCCAAAGTAAAATAAATCACACATACTGTTTGAATAATAACAAATGGTGACGAAAAGTAGTTCTGACAACTAGGTCTCGCTGCTGATGATTGATCAATACTATTCGTCTGGTTCATTGTTATTGAATTTCCTTGACTATAACTATTGCTGCACGTATCATCGCTGAAATTCCTATATTTAGGTAGTGATTCAACAGCCAAAGCAAGAGTAGATAATAAAACAACAAATACAGAAAGAATTTGAACACATTTTGCTATGAATGAAAATTCCGGATGTTCTAAAGTGGCCCATAAATAACGACGAAATCGATTTCGTGGCAAAGAAATCTTTTTTAGTTCTTTCAAATTTTCCTCTTCTCTTACTTGAGCAAGAGCTTGTTCGCCTAAATCGAAAAAAGTGATCTCTTCAAGAAATGTATCAATTGGTACGAAATTTGGTCGACGCAATCTACCATTTGATTGATAAAAATAAAGAATAGCATCAAAACAGGCCCGATTACGGTCAAAAAAATATTCATTGTGTACTGAATCATAGAATAATTTTCGTCGCTCTTCATTACCCAAAAGTGTATTCGGATAGAATGCCAATGTCGATGTCAATGTTTCAAAATGAAGTCCACTTACATTGATAGTGATACGGTCTTGATGATAAAGATTTTTGTCGTCCTTATTTTTGTTTGTTTTTATCACCTCTGTTTCGAATGATTTGTGAATGTTGATAACATCACTAATCAAAAAGAAACAGGAATGGATTCAAAGAAAAAATCAATGATTCCGATGTTAAGAGTGACGTTAGAAAGCATTAGTTGTCTAAGAAAAAAAGAATAGAACCAAACAAATGCTACATACGGATCTTCTGGTATTGATAGTAAATCATTGGTTTGGAACATCAATCGACCTATGCTGATAATCAATAGATCGGTGTTGAAAATTTGATCACGCTTTGATGATCGATCTGTATTCAACTAACCTGAATAAACGTCGATAATTGTTAGGCGATTTTCGTTCAACCATCGAATCAGATTGATTCGTGTCACTAGAAACTGATGTTGTATTGGATGGCTTCATAGTTTATTTGAATAATCCTATCTAGAATAAACAAACAAAAATTCATCGGCATTTTCGTCAGAACTTGAGGCCAGAGAAATTTAAAAAATATTGGTTGAATTTTAGAAAGATTTTCATATTTCTATTTTCTTCGGTGATAACCTTGAGAAATAGGAGAAAATCTATGAAACCATTCTCTACCACTGAAATAAAATACTGTTAAGTCTATGCTTCAGACCAGAGACGTGCACCGCGTCTAAAAATCGCGGCGGAGGCGGCGTGGAAGATGACATCAAGCTTAAAGGAGCGGCGGCAGCAGCCCACCGCCTGAAAGCCTTTTCGAGTGGCGGTGCGGCCGCTCCACACTTCCTATTCCAACAGGGACGGAGCGATCGCGCCGCCAGGCTGCAGCCCGGCGGCCGCCTTATGATATTTACAGAATTATTTTCTCGATCTTTTTTTACAGATTTATTGCGCTAATAGAGAGTCAAGATGCTTTTCAAGCAATACTGGATTTGAGAGAACAACGGTTCACATACGCTTTCGTTATACCTTCTCTTTTTGTTTGGTTTATTATTAAAAAACACAAACTTAATCAAAGAAAATTCATGCAAAGTAAATACTATCAACACGCAGAGAAAAAGTTGATTCAGTTCGTTTTTTTTAAATTTTTTAAATTGATGTACTATCACTAATATCAGCAAATAAATAAAAAAATTCTATTTTGTTCATTTGCACAGAAATTTTGAATTAAATTCATGCAAAAAAAACAATTTTATCTTCATACGCAAGAAAAATTTTAATTCTATGTGTTAGTAGAAAAACTAAGTTTCATTCACTTCGAAAGAAATTCTTTATAGATGAACAAAAATGGTAGCGTCTCGATTAATTTCTCATAATGATAAAGTTTGAATAATAGAGCTATAATGCAAGTATTGCAACTTAAATTTGTTAAGATAGAAGTTATACAATGGAACAATGAAATTGAGACAAAGAGTGATATGACGACTAGTCGAAAGAAAGGTGAGAAATTGATATATATACGATACCTATTGACTGACGACATCCAAAAAATATTTTGTTTTATAAAGTCGTTGAAAAGAAGATGTTCACTTAAAACATTTGTTGTTTTTAGTGTTGTGTAATTTAGAAACTAACTTAAAAATTTTTTCAATGACTAAATTGCTAACGAAATTGAAACTATTTATGTAGTTGCTGCTTATAGAATAATAACAATATTCATTTAAGAAATTGACCTCAACAATCTTTCTCGAGGGAAGTGTAGACTGCAGAAACAAAATGTAGAGACTATCTGCTGCTCGCGATATACATACTGCTGGACATTGTCGCCAAAAATCAGAATGTATAATGTACACTTATCAGCAGAAATTAACACTTTTGTTATAAAATATTGAAAATTTATTTAGACTTGATAACACAAGTTTAAACTAACGGATGAGCCATAATAAAAGATCGTACCTTGCATTCATATTTTTTGCCTTAAAATACGTATTTTTAAAATAAAACAACAAAATATATCACAAGATGCAGCATGAAAAGCTCTACAATTTACGATATAACGCTTATTTTAGTTGTCTACTTTTTCTTTTCGAAAAAAGTAACATTCTATAAGGCCTACTTTTATCTTTACAAAAACTGGTCGCAGAGACTTTGAGTTTTATAAAAAAATGAGAAGTACATAATTAAGATAAACTGTGATGCCTAAGTTTTAAAGGTTTTTACGCTGTACCCTGTGTGATATTTTATTTTATGGAAGCATATTAAATTATAAAAAAGACGAAATAAGAAGGAGAAATTGTCGTTTGTGTAGAAAAAAATGAGTTGTTCATAAAGGCGAAAGATATATCTTACAAAAATTTGCTTTTTGCTTAAAAAAGAAAAAGTAGGAACTAAAATATACTTTACGTCGTAGATGGTAGAGCGTTTTATGCTACATTTTGTGATACATGTTTTTTAAAACACGTATTTTGAGATAAAAGTATGCCATGCTAAATGAGGACACTTACTATGAGTAACCCGTTATATGTTGATTTTATTTGCTTTACCTGGTTAAAATGACTGCATTTCTATATTAAGATGCTTTCCTTTATCCGACTCTTCTTTTTAATGTGTTAAAGCATGTCACTTGCCGTAATATGCCCTTTCAATCTATTAAAATTCGTTAACAAAAAGGTTAAACGAATTAAAACGCGTACATTTCTTTCATTGGGCGCTTGAGCGAGTTATAAAGGGTTGTTTTCTTCGATTTTTATCTTTAATGTGTTAGAATGGCGTTTTTAGCATTTTATGTCTGCCGGGTATGTGTGACGAAAAGACTATGGAAAGAAAGAGAAAAAATATATAAGGCGTAGTCCATAAAGTTCCACTTGACAATTATTACCATTATAGCACGCTGAAATTTGGTTTACTTTTAAGAACAACTATCCAGTCGATGCCACTTCTCTTTTTTGATCTTAATTTAACATAAAAAATACATAGATGCCGCCAAAAGACAGTAAATTTGGCATTGCTTTTCGAAGTTCGATTTAAAAAATTCTAATAGCTGATACTATCTAGGCGCGACCGCTCGGCGGCAAAAAGGCGACCGCAGCGCGGCCGCGCCACCGCCGCCCTCAAAATTTTTCTCGGCGGCACGGCTGCCAAACCAGCAGCCGAATTTGACGTTAGAGTGCGGGCGGTCCGCGCTGGCGGTGCGGCCGCGCGCGCGCGCGCGGTGCACGTCTCTGCTTCAGACTCGAATAGCAATTGTTACAATGCGAAGTTTCCATTTTGAAATTGAATACTAGAACAAAGTCATTTTGATCACTACTGAAAACTTTGTTGATCGATAACTTAAAAGACGACAAGCTGTGAGGCATATCTTTCTTTCAAGATTTTTATAGTTTTCATCATAATTCTAAGTTTACTTGAGGGTGAGTGTAGATATTATTTTTCTCTTAACCAACAATCACAGCCACGTCCACAACCTAAAATACTCATTATTTGGATTCAATTTCATGCTTCATAAGCTTCGTCTTTGTTAGGAAAATAATAAAAGTGTATGTTAGAAGTAGTAGATGTTCTGTAAATTTTACTTCTGCTTGAAACATCTGTTATTAAAATATATACGACATCTGCTATTCCATTTTAATTCGTCTAGTTCATTTAGTATCGCAGTATACTAGCACTAACCATTCTTTAGAAACTAACCAATATATCCGATAGAGGGTCTACTGTTTTAAATATCTATCAAAGATCGATCTACCTATAATTACAACTAGAAAATTTCAGCAGACTTTCTTTGATATCTCTTTTAATTATTTTCAGTTGTGTTGCTCTTAAAGAATTAAAGTTTGTTGTAGAGGAATACAGTTTATTTTCTCTTCATTAACTTGATTTTTTTTCGAATCAAAATAATTCGAAACTGCATGCCTATATATCAAAAAATAGAAAAGAATTTTTTGTTAAAAAACTGTCAATTGAAAATGCTGTGTATGTCAATCCCTATTGATTTCTCGAGTCCTAAGCTTATCCATTACATGTTATTTTTATTATCTGCGAGTTTGTTCTTAAGGATAACGAGATAGAATTTTCTTTTTTTCTCATATACATATTTGTTAAAAAAATCTCTCTATCACACTGATAGAGAGATTTTTTTAGTGAGTTTTTAAGGTTCAAATCGAGTATAAAAGATTATTCTTACCTTTGTGTTAGTTAGTTCTTTCATACTTTCCAGTTATTCTCTTTTTGTTA